ACGTGACGGGTCAAATAAAGATGGAAGAGATGTGTTTTTAGCTGATTCTTGAAAATGGTTAAGGACTTGAATTGGGCAGGTCGTTCCACCAGGAGGGAACAGTTAATGAAAAAGTTTGTGAAAGTGATTTTGTGCCTCTTTGAAATGGCACAATAATACACCGTTTACTTGCAGAACGCACGCTTCTAGAGGGCACATAACTCTGAAGTAATGAATTTAGGTAAATGGGTGCAGAGCCAGTGGTGGTTTTGTAGGCAAACATTAATGCCTTGAATTTAATGCGAGCAGCTACTGGTAGCCAGTGCAAATTGATGAACAGAGGTGTGACATGCGTTCTTTTTGGCTCATTAAAGATTAATCTTGCAGCGGCATTATTAATGCAGTTATTCAGTAGAATTACAAAATTGAGCCATGCAACAATTATTGTTGACATTCATTTATTTATTTTCATTATTACATTAGAATATTATTTGAATTCTTATTGTTTGTTTTTAGGGATGTAACGGTATGAAAATTTCATATCACGATTATAGTGACCAAAGTTATCACGGTTACATCATTTGTATTTTTATGATTATATTATTAAAACATTATTTTATTATTATTTTTTTTTATTTAATAAATGCATGCTCAAAATGCAGTTATTCAGTAGAATTACAAAATTTAGCCATGCAACAATTATTGTTGATATATATATATTATTTGTATTATTATTTTATTATTAATATATTTAATTAATTTTATTCTATGCTTTTTATTTTATTCTTTTTATTTTTTATGATTACTTATTTGTTTCTATTAATTATTAATTGTATTTATTTATTTTTATTTACATGCATTTGCATTAAGTACATTTGATAAGTTTGTTTCAATTCCATTAAATGTACCTTTCAGTGAATATCAGCTATGATCTGTTCCTCACACAAACATGTTTCATATGTTTCTAGAAGACTTCGAGTGCATAAGAAGCTCAATGTCTGCTTTCATTCTGTGGGACAAAAAGGCAGCTTGAAGATTTTGCTAAAATCATGTAGTAATGATGAGCACCGATGGTGAGTAATAACACTATCCACTTAATTTTTCATGGCAATTTGTTATCCTTATTTTTTTTTCTGAAAGTTAAGTCAACTAATTGGGTTCAACTAAATGCAAAGATTATGAACATGTTGATAAAACCGTATTCTTCACTGCAGCTTCATTGAAAGTATAGGTTCAAGCGATTTTAAATGAATAAACCATCCAAAGGTAACTCCAGTCAAGACACATTTATTTAAATTGTGATTTAAAATACAGATTGTAAACAGGAAAATAACAGTAAAATTCAACAATTATGAAATGGATTCAGCTAAATAAAGCAGCTCTAGTGTCAATAGTGTCATTATTCAGATCAAGTTTGTTCTCATCCGATAGTGTCAGTGATATTGAAATTATTACTGAATATTAATTGTCTTTTAGACAGACACGGCTCTGTTCTCTCTCTGTGAGTTTAACGTCTGTATAAACCAACCCGATCTCATGAAAGTGCGTATAAATAGTACGCCAAATAAAAACGAAAACTCGTGGTATTGATACGCAAAAATGGACTTTGGCGTGTATATGCTACGCGATGGGTAGGTTTAGGGTTGTGGGGTAGATGCGTATCATATGCACGCCTGCAAATTTCGTATCATATGCACGCGAAAACTGCGTATTATATGCACGCCAAACACATGCGTATCATATGAATGCCAAACTCCATTTTTGCGTATCAATACCACGAGTTTTCGTTTTTATTTGGCGTACTATTTATACGCATTTTCATGAGTCTTTCAGAAGCTGATTTACTCTGATCTGCAAGTTTCTGTAAATCTCGACTCAATCAGGTCTTCATATTTCTCATATTTCTGTCCGTATGAAACACCAGCAGACTGAGACTCCGAGATTATGATGATCTCGAACACATGAGTTCAGTCGAGTCAGTTCATCTCCGCTTTCATTTTCGCTTAAAATTGGTGAAGAAAATGAAAGAAGCAGTTCAGAAACTCAACGGCTTGCTTTTATTCCCATGGCTCTTTACACTGAATCTCCAAACCACCACCGTGTTCATCTGTGTTCCTGCTGTTCATTATGAACGGATGATTCGCCTCCTTTTGTTGCTTTCTGAGTTAATCAGATTATGCCGGTTAAATCTCTTTTTGCTGACTTCAAGCGCATTCATTCATCAGCCCTGTTATTAAACACTGTTCTGTTTCTCTACACTGTAAAATCACGAGGTTTCTTCAACAAATAAATAAATTAAAAATGTAAAAAACAGCAGTCAGAACTTCAGCATTAAAAATTTTTTTAGTAACATTTGAGGTTTTACAGATGGAACTTCCATTAACAGTAAAAAAGTAAAAAAAAAAAAGCGTATTAACCGACTGTGTTAATATACTGTACTTTAAAAAAAAAAAAAAGCCTTTATTCATCAATGACACATTAATTGATCAAAAGTGAAAGTAAAGACATTTATAATGTTATAAAAGATTTCTATTTCAAATAAATGCTGATCTTTTGAACTTTCTGTTCATGAAAGAATCCAGAAAAATGAAATGTATCTCAAAAATAGTTTAATAGTTTTGTGCAACTCTCTGGAAAATGCAATAGTTTTGTGAGCGAATGCAACAAAGCTAAATACTGATTTTTGAAATAAAATTCAGAGCAAATAAAATAGAAATAGAAAAAAAAAATCTATGTAATACTACTAACTGGAGATCATCAATGGCGTTCATCTCATAAACATGGTCATTCTGACGTGACTTGAAGGTGATAAAAAGTTTGACACCATGTCTACACCGAACGCAAGCGGCGCAACAAAATACTATAGAACTCATTATAATCAGTGATGCTGTCAACACTGGATGTGGCGCGACACGACAAATCCCCGTGCACCAAAATTCAAACGTTTTTTGAAGATATCGCTGAACATTTATTTTACCATAGTAAAATTATATTTCTGGCTTAAGTAAATTTTTCATCTCAGTTTTTATTACTCATTTAAAATGAGACAAATCTGCTATTATTTTAATCGCCAATCTGTTATTTATCAGTTTAGATAATTTTTTAATGCTTCGCTAACTATCAGAAGACAGTAACCAGTTTTAAATTCCAGTTGCGCAGATGGGGTATGTTGTAACACTGCGTTACAATGTGCCCTGCCGTGCTATTCTATGACATTAGCGATGTAATTCAGACTACTTACTTTAATACATTTCAATGATAAACGACAAGAAACACGTGAATAAATACTGACAGTCAATGTTTAATGTTAAGAAATTATTATTTCAAGACATGTAAAGCATTTTGGCTCGTTTATGTGGGCCGTCCCAAGCATGGTTGCAATGTGTTCATTGTCAAACTCCAAAATCAAATTATTTTTAATTCTTAAAAAACGCCATTATTTTATTTGAAATAAATAATTATTTTATTTTATTGACAAAATATTTTAGTTTGTCTTGTATATTTTTTTCATGCGATCAGATAACATTTGCCGTGCTATTCTATGACATTAGCGATGTAATTCACACTATTTACTTTATTAAATTTTAATGACAAACGACGAGAAACAGGTGAATAAAGACTGACAGTCAATGTTTGATGTTAAGAAATTATTA